ACACACACACACACACACACACACACACACACACACACACACACACATACACGTCACACAAGGCTGAATTCTCTGGAAGGGGCAGAGGGCAACAGGGAAATTCTGCTGTCACAAAACGCTGGTAGCCTTGGACTATGCCATGAATTATTGTGACGCCCTACCCACCACAGCCCTAAAAATCCTTCAGTGGTCACTATTGCTCATTGATAAAAACCAAGTTCCCATCAGGTGACAGTCTTTCCGGATGTCTTCCCAGTTCTGCTCCTAGGTGAATGGCAAGATCCCGTCACATGTAGAACCTGAGCAGGCAGTTCATTCGCCTCCGAAGGCATTCTCTCCCCCTGCTGTGTTCACTGTCCACCACACCTGGAGACAGGCCTAGCTACTCTGTGTTGTCACTTCCCCCAGGAAGTCCTGCCTAAGCCCTTCGCAGCTGAAGTACCCTGCCCTGGACCCTCTGCCACTACACCAGCCTCCTGGGCCCTGGCTGAAGCTGTCTACACACCTGTGTCCCAAAGGCCTGGCTATCTGGCTGGGGCCTTCCTCTGCTGGCTCTACTGTCAGGGGACCCCAATCACTCGTATTGGTGCAAGGCCCTAAACCTTAGAACAAACAAAATGAACTTCCAGGAGCTTCTTATTTTTTCCATATCGTTACCAAACTTGAAAAGCAATTACAGTGCTTACAAAAGCCACATAAAATGTATTTGGTGCTATCTGTAGCTTGGGGATTATCAAAGCCCACAGTCCTTGTGGCAGGCAGGGCCCCCCCGATATTGGTGGTCTGGGCACCTTCTTATCACTACACAAAATGCAAAGCAACTCAACTGTTTTAGGGGCAGGTTGGCCACAAATTTACTCACCCATCTAATTCATTCCTGTGGCCTTACCCACGTCAGCTAGGTGTGGGCTGCAGCCCAGGCAAGCCAACAAACCTGAATTTGGCTCTGAGGTCCCTAGGATTCTGGTGTGCCATCTGGCTTTAGATTCTATTTTATTTCTCAAGGCCAGACTCGTTTCCTCCTCCAGGAAATGAGAATGGCAGACCCTGATGAGCCCCTGAGAACACACAAGTGTGTTGGTACATATGTATGCTCCTGCATGCATACACACCAACACACACATACATATCCAGGGCTGGGGATACGGCTCAGTTGGTGGAGTGTTTGCCTAGCAGGCCTGAGGCCCTGGGTCTGGAGTCTCGCACCAGGTAAATCAGATGTTATGACCTGTGTCTACAATCCCAGCCCTTTGAAGACGGAGACGGGAGGATCCGTTTAGAGCCGTTCTTAGCTATCCAGCCAGTTTGAGGCCAGCCTGGGCTACACAAAACCTAACGCAAGCAAAACAAAAAAACAACAACCAACTAAACAAATAAACAAAGCTAGTTCCCAGGTGACAGTAGGTAGCTCAGCACCTACCATGCAGAAAGCATTTGACAAATGGGCTATTACTGTTCACAAAAGACACACATACACAAGACTGTGGCGGATCTCAGGAGACTGGTGGAGTCAGCCCTGAGGCTGGCTCACCAGGTTTGGATCTCAGAGGACTCCTGGTGGGACCCAGGCCTTTGATGTGAGGGAAGCTGGAAGTCAACCCTTTGTCCGAAATCCAAGCTAGAGTGGGGCCTCGTCCTCTGAAAAGCCGCGAAAGCCCCACCCCTAGAGGTGTTTAGGCACAAGCTCTGTGGCTCACACTGACTCTCTTACCTAGCTCTTTTCTACCTGGGATCTCTTTCAAAAATCATTTTTTTGCCAGGTATGGTGGCGTATGGCTTTGATCCCAGACCTTAGGGAGGCAGAGGCAGGTGGATCTGTGTGGGTTCGAGGCCAGCCTGGTCTACAGAGTGAGTTCCAGGCCAGCCAGGGCTACACAGAGAAACCCTGTCTTTAAAAAAAGAAAAAAAAATTTTAAATTATTTTTAAGTACATTTAAGTATGGCATCGTGTGTGTGTGTGTATGTGTGTGTGTGTGTGTCACACACACACATGCACAAGTTAAAAAAAAAACTTGAGGAAATTGTTCTTTGCTTCTACTCAGGGCGCCACGCTTGGTCACAAGCACCGTCACCCGGTGAGCCCCTTCACTGGCCCTCCAGCTGGCTCCTGTGATGCTTTTCAGAAGACCATCCTACCAAAAAGCCGCTCTTTACAGGCCCTCCCAGGAGACGTCCGATCAGTCTCATGGCTGAGGCCTTAGTAATGCTACAGGAAGGCATCCTTCACCCCATCACCTCCGCTTCCTTCAGGTTCCCACCACACTTGCCTGAGGTACTCACATTGGGAAAATCCAGGAAGAGAACGTGGACTTCGTGCACAGCGTTGGCAACCCGAGCTACACAGCCCTCAGAGACCTGGCTGGTGGTAAATGTCACCTCACCCCTTGTGGGGTCCACAGGCTGGAGATCACAATGGACTTCTTCTGCGAGACCTGCCGGTAAAGCACAGTGAGGTCAGAAGGGGGCAGGGCCAGGAATGTTTGCCTAGCATGGGCAAGGCCCTAGGTTCAATTCCCAGCACTAGAAGGAAAAAGCACTAAATATATTCTTATTCTTTAAAAAAATACATTGTTATTAGTATTGTTGTTATTGTTTGAAGACAGAGTTGGATGTAGCCCAGGCTGGCCTTAAGCTTGTCATGTAGCCAGTGATGGTCCTGACCTTCTGATCTTCCAGCCCCCACTTCCCAAATGCTGAGATTTCAGGTGTGCACCGTCCCGCCCGGATACAATCACATTCATTTTCTAAACGTTTCCTAGGTACTTGGTAGTAGCTCAGAGTTCATAGCTGTCCTACATGGTGGATGTCGTTTCATACATTCCATGAGTGGAGAAACTGTGGCTCAGCCAGAGAAAGTCTCCCAGAGTCACAGTGTTACTGGGTGTAATGTTGGAAGACAAAGGTCAAATAAAGATAAAGAATAAATTCTAATTGCAGATAAATAGGAATCATTTTTCAAGGTATAATTTATCTATCATCTATCTATCTATATCTATTTTTTTTAAAAGATTTTGTTTTTGTTTTTCGGGACAAGGTTTCTCTTGGCTATCTTGAGCTTGCTTTGTAGACCAGGCTGGCCTTGAATTCATAGAGATCCACCTGCCTCTGCCTCCCTGAGTGCTCAGATTACAGGAAGATATAATTTTAAATATATAATAATATACTTATACTACAAAACATTCATTGATTATCTGAAATTCAAACTTAACTATTATTTCAGGAGAGATGTTGTTTGTTTTCTGCTTTTTTGTTTTTTTTGTTTGTTTGGTTGGTTGTTTTGTTTCCTTTTCTTTTTTTGAGATGAGGTGTCACTATGTAGTTCCAGCTGGCCTAGAACTCACTATGAAGACGAGGCTGGCCTTGAACTCACAGAGACTGCCTGTTTCTGTCTCCCCAGTGCTGGGATTAAAGGTAGGTGCCACTGTGCACAGCTATCCACTAGTGCCAGATGACCCCAACAGGCAGGGCCCCATGGTAGACCCCAAGGCTTAAGGCCAGTTTAATCCAAAGGAAGATGGGGGTGAGGTAGGGAGACAGTTTTCCCTCTTCTGACCTCAAAGTGTCCGTCCCTAAGAGGCTGTTTCTGAGGAGAGAATTTCCTGCCTCAGCAGGAGCAGCCCAGGTTGAAGGCAGTGATGGGGCAGGCCTTACAGCCTGCCGACAGGCGGCCCGGAAACACGGGTCCCAAGGGAGAGGAATGGAATTTCACCCTGACCCAGCAAAGGGGGAAGAGGAAATGAGGCCCCCTACACCTCGTCCTAAGGAATGTGCTGAGGGGAAGGGGGGCTGTGGCGGAGGGACAGAGAAGGGGAGGCTGTTTGGAAGTTTATGTCTCCATCTTGTCGTGCTCACTTCCTGTTTTCTTGGAGATCAAAGATGGGCGAGGAGGACCAGGCTTCACGTCCAGCTGACGCCAGTGCTGAGGATGGGGGAAGGCTGGCTCTTCCTGAACCACGGGCGCCTGTGGCCTGAGCAGCCTTCTTCCCCACCTTTGTAGCTAGCTTGTTGGTCCACTGAGGTCAGAGAAGGAGGAAAGATGGCTGCTTCAGACCCTCCAATGCCATCCTTCATCTCCATCTTGGGAAGAGAATAGGGGCAGGTACCCCTTGCTGCTGTAGGAGCCCAAACCTCATCAGCCCCAGTCCCATCTACAGTATGTTAGGGACATGCTTGTGTTTGGGCAATATGGTATTTTGGTTCAAAGCAAGTTCCTGGGAACTGGGCCCAACATCCAGTTCTGACTAGCTGTGTGGTTTGGGAGTGGGGTGATTTCAGCACTTGGGGCTTTAGTTTTCTGGTCTGTCCAATGGGCAATCGGACAGAAAAGCATGCTGTCTGCGGGTTGTTGGGAACCTGTGAGGCACGCATGTGGCTGTTCTGTCTGTAGCTTTCTTGCCTGCGTGTGCTGCGGCAATTGGCTGTTTAAGGGCTGGGGTGCAGCTGAAGGACAGGACAGATCAGTAGGGTTCCTTTCCCTCACCACAATAGACTCAAGGGTTGGTACCTTCTCCTGTTGTCAATTTCCCCTCTGATCCACCCGACTCCTTCCCATTCTTAAGCGTGGGCTGCTCCTACCTAGAAGGGGAGGCTGCAGCCTGAACAGAGGGATGCTTATGTCATACATACATGTGGCTGCCCTCTGGGTCTCCGGCTGCTCTCCCAACATGACCCACGATCTGATCTGGCCTACAGATCTTTGGACTTTCCCTACTCCCCTCCCCAGACTTCCAGGAACCCCAGTTCCTCTGGCATTGCCGGGCTGCCTGGGGCCGCCTCCTCCATGCCGTCAGCCAGCGCCAGCAGGAGAGGCCACAGGCCTGGCCATTATGTAATGATCAGATAACAGGCCAGGCTGGGAGATCAGATAAGAGGCCCATTTATTTTGGGGCCTTTTCGAATACTGGTTGCCCCCACCCCACAGACGAGAATGGGGAGACAGGAGGGAGTGTGACGCCTGAGCCTGTCTCCAGAAGCCCAAGGCGGGCCCAGGGCGGCTGAAAACAATCCCCTGGCACCAAGGGAAATGCCGGGGGGCCTCCCGGGAACTGTCGGAGGAGGCGCCGCTGGGGACCTAGAAGTCACCCTTGGAGAACGGGGTGACCCTGACCTCCTGAGTAAGAGTCTGGAGCACCCTCCCACTCCTCTTCCTTCATCCTTACCTAAGTACAGGGCCTTACACAGCCACTCCCATTCCATCCCAAATAGCTCCTGGAGGCCATCAGACTAAGTCGTTGTGGGGCCCCATGGCCTGGTCATAAGCTCAGCTTCTTCACCTCTCTGAGACTCAGTCTGAGCTTGCAAGGACTATAGAACGAGCCTCACTCATTTGTAGGCACAATTACCACACCAAAGCTTCCGTCTTGTTCCCTGTCTGGGGGCTTGTATGAGTAAATTCCTTGCTTCCTTATAGCAGCCCTCGGAGGTGGGTGGGCGGTTCTGATGCCCATTTCACAGCTAGTTAGGGAGGCAAAAGGATTTCCCTAGGAGACCTAGATACTCAGCAGCAGGGCCTGGCCTTGAGCTCTCGGAGGGTCTAGTTCTACCCCCTGGCATTTGCTTCGTGTGTCTATCAGTGTCAGTTCTGACGCATCATAGGTGCTATGAATATCTGTGCCACCGATGATGCTTTCTGACAAAAGACTTCTTCAGCTACTTCACCACCCACCTAGCTACCGTCCAATGACAGCCTCAGAGATAGGTGTCCCATCTCCCAGTCAGGCCACCAGCAAGACACAGTTCCCCCTTCTTTCCCAGTCTCCAACACCCACAGAGCCAAATTCATGCTCCGAAGCCTAAAGAGGGGTCAAAAGATGGAGAGGTTGACTAATGCCCAACGTTCCCATCCCAATCGTGCCACCCTCTAGGCTCCTTTTCATGCGTGATGATGGAGTGGTGGAGATCCTATGCCACCCTCAGAGAGCTGGCGAGCACTCCCAGACTGTCACGGACACAGGGCCCGGCCACCTGCTGAAGGATGGAGATTGCACAGGACCTGCTGAAGAACTGTTGTTCCCTTCCAGTCAGAGGTGAGCGTTTTCTCCAGGCGCACCTTGCTCGCCTTCGCCCTTTTGCAGACCGGCGGCTACCCTTTAAGATTGATTTATTTTAGTTTCACAGGCACAGGCACGCACCTGCATGCGTGAATTATGCGCACCATGGACATGCAGTGCCCGCACAGGGCAGAAGAGGGCATCAGAGCCCCCTGGAATTGGAGGTATGGAGAGCCGTAAGCTGACATGTGGGCACTGGGAACCAAATCTGGTCTTCCGCAAGAACAGCAAGTGCTGGTCACTGCCGAGTCATCTGTCAGCCCACAGCTAGCCCCAGCGGTCATCTTTTATTGACCACCTGACCAACTTGGATTCAACTTTCAAAACTATTGTTAGCCTCTTCTCGAAACTGGTGCCTCCTGGCGCATGCCTTTGATCCCAGCACTTGAGAGACAGAGACAGGTGGATCTCTGTGATTTTGAGGCCAGCCTGGTCTATGGAGTGAGTTCTGGACTTCTAGACAAGCCTACACCATAAATACCCTGTGTCTCAAAAAACAAAACAAAAATTCCAAAAAAAAGAAGCAGGTACCTCCTTTCTTAGGTGCACCAGGACCTGATGTCTGAAAGTCACAGAGTCACACATGCTCAGGTGGGAGCTACTTTGTTGTGTTTGTTTGTCTGTTTTGATGGGTTTGGGCTGTTTTGTTTCTACTTTATGTGTAGGTGTGCGGGTGAACGTGTGTGACTGTGCATGTGTGGGACTTACACCAGGCTGTTCCTCAGCACCATTCACCTTACTTTCTGAGATAAGGCCTTTCACTAGACTGGAGCTCACTGGGTAGCTCCGCTGATGAGCCAGTGAGCGGCAGGGATCCTCCTGTGTTCTCCTCACTAGCACTGGGGTTGCTCGGGCTCAACACTACTGTACCCATTATCATCATCATCATCATCATCATCATCATCATCATCATCATCATCATCATATGAGTTCTGGGCATTGAAGTCAGGTCCTCAGCGCTTGCACAGCAAACCTGTACGAGCTGAACAATCTCCCCAGCCTTAAAAAAAAAAAAATTATGACTAGGTCTTCTTAGCCACACAGTGGTGGCACACGTCTTTCATCCCAGCACTCAGGAGGCAGAGGCAGGTAGATCTTTGAGTTTGAGTCCAGCCTGGTCTACAGAGTGAGTTCCGAGGCTGCCAGGGCTCCACAGAGAAACCCTGTCTTTAAAAACAAATGAACAAACAAGCAACCCCCCCCCCAAAAAAAAAAACAAAACAAACAGGGTCTCACTCTCTAATTCAGGTTGGCTTCAGTCTCACAGAAATCCCATCTGCCGTCTTTGCCCCCTGAATGATGGCATTAGAGGTATGTGCCACCATGCCTGGCCTGGATTTTGTTTTGCTTTGTTTTTTAAGATTTATTTATTTTTCTCTGTGTGAGTATTTCATAGGTATCTATGTACACGTATATATGTATTGCATCACAACCATGCCGAGTGCTCTCGGAGGTCAGAGGGCAGAGTCAGACCCCCTGGAACTGGAATTACAGAGGGTTGTGAGGCACCATGCGGGTGCTGGGAACAGAATCTGGGTCCTCTGTAAGAGCAAGTGTTCAAACCGCTGAACCATCTCGCCAGCCTCTTTTAAAGATTCATTGATTATTTGTTTTCTCTTTTTAAGATTCATTTAATTCTTATTTGTGTGGTGTGTGTGTGTGTGTGTGTGAATGTGTGGTGTGCATGGTGTGTGGTGCGTGTGTTTGGATGTTGGAGTGTGCATGTGTGGTGTGTGTGTGTACACGTGCCTGCACAGGATCCCCTAGAGCTGGAGTTAAAGGCAATTCTGTGCTGTGTGGTGTGGGCTCTGGAAACCCATGTCCTTTGAATGCTCTGAACCCTTGAGCCATCTCTGCAGGGCTGGGTTGTTTTTGAGACAGGATTTCCTATCTTTTAGGGCCCAGGCTACCCTAAAATTTACCATGTATCTGGAGCTCATCTTGAATTCCTGATTCTCTTGCCTCAGTTTCTCAAGTGCACCCACACCGGGCTGCTGCTGTTTAGCTCCTTCTATCTGCACCCCCAGAGCACAGCACAGGGACAGTCTGGTTCACTGTGTCCCTGTCATTTGTCTGGGCTGGGGTGGGCCAGAATGCGGTATGTGCAGTAAATGTTAAGGCTTATCTGTAACTTGCTAGCAGATCCTCCTACTGTTCTTGGACCCCTCTGAATGATGTCCAGAGGTTCTATCTGGGACAAAGGCCAGAAGGCAGGACACTGACAGCAGATGCAGCGTCTCAGGGTTTCATCTAAGGGGGCTGGGACAAAGGACCAAGTCCTGAAATGAGGGCTCAGGCTGCAGGAGGAGGTAGCTTATGGAAATGGCTGGTCCAAGGTTTTGGGTCCCGGCTCTCCACTGTAGTCTGTGTTGCTTAGCAAGTTCTCTTGTCTCCTAGACCCCAGTCTCTCCATCTGTAACAGAGGGTCGACAGCCTAGAGCAGTGCCAGTGCTGGTGTACAGCAAGTACTCCATAAACGTGATCACCCCAATTATATGCCGACATTAAATCCAGTTTACTTTGCAAGTCCCTCAACTTGCAGGACTGCTGCCCCGAAGCTTGGTCTGGAGGCAAAGGTGGGGCCTGGAACTCGGCCCCCAGCTTTTTAAGTCTCCCGTGCCTAGCCACCAAAGGGCCCAGAGAGGAGGCTGGGTCAGGAGCAGACAGCCTGGGGTGGAAATCAGGACATGTCACTTACTGACAACTTGAGCATCCTCGTCTGTTCACCGGGCCAACACACCAAGGACACAGAGAGCAGATCGCCTGTTGCTTGCCCAGATCTGCCTGAAGGCCCCAGAGCACACGGAGCAGGCCTGTCCTCCAACCCCCCAGGACTGGCTCACATGTGGCTCGGAGCAGGTCCTCTGTCCCTCTTCTCAGCATCTCAGTCTCTCTGGCTGAAGTGAGAGGGAATCCTACTTTTTCTTTTAATATTTAAAGTTTATTTTATTGTTCATATGCATGTGTGTGTGCCTTCCTGAGTGTATGTGCACTACAAGCATGCATGTTATAGGTGGTTCAAATGTGAGTAAACCGAACCCAGGTGTGGAAGGAGAACCTTAGTGGTCATTCCCTCGTAGGCCCCAGGGAGCCACTGTGCCAGAAGCTTCCAAGTGAAATAAGCCAAAATACGGGGAATGGTACATGCATCAAACTGGAACAAAGGGGAAACCACTTAACTACTCAGCAGGGGACTACTTTCTGTTCAAATGATGGCACACAGCTGTGTCAGAATAGTCCAGAACTGCAAACAGCTTTGGAGTCCGAATGGTGACATGGAGATACTATGGCACTTAAGAAGGATCCACAGGACTCTCACGTGTTTATCAGTGGGGCCAGAAATAAGGCCTTGCCCAGCCTAGAGGTCAGTTTATAGATGCTAACAGACCTGGGAGTATTTGTCTACAGTATCAAGGATCGAACTTGGAATATTCTAGAAAAGTGTTCTGCCGTTCGTCTTCCAGCCTTAATCAGGAGGGGGGTGTGTGTGTGTGTGTGTGTGTGTGTGTGTGTGTGTGTGTGTGCCCTCTCTTCCCATCATGTAGATTCTGGGAGTCAAACGCAAGTTGGCAGCCTTAGCATCAGCTCTTTATCTGATTTTGTCAGCCCACAGACCTAAGATTTTAAAAATCATCTCCCCCCTCACTCTATTCCCTTGCCCCTCCCTCTTTCTTTTGTTCTCCTGAGACAGGTCTTCATCTAGCTCAATTTAGACTTGAGCTCGACATGAGCTCAAATTTCTGGTCCTGCCTCTACCTCCTGAGTGCTGGTATTACAGGTGTGTCCACCATGCATGCCTCTCCTCCCCTTCCTTTGCTCTCTTCTTTGCAGAGCCTCACATCTGCTAGGCATGGTTTTCCCAGGGAGCTATATCCCAGCACCCCTCACGCATCTGTAGTCTTTCAGGAGCAACACACGGTTAAGTTGCTCTATAAGAATCTCCACATGGGGACTGGAGAAACGGCTCGGTGGTTAAGAGCATGCGTTGCTCTTCCAGAAGACCTAGGTTCGGTTCCTGGCACCAACCTGGGGACTTACAACTCTCTGTGCCTCCCTGGGCACACAAACATACATGCATGCAAAACAACCCATACGCATAAAACTAACAAAACAAGTCAATCCACAACAGAAGAATTTGTCTTCGAAAGCCCCCTGGACTCAGAGAAAATCCCACACCGAAGAACAGTCACACCAAGTGCGCCTCCTTGCAGAACTTTCTTTGTGCAAACCGCATCCTTGTGTCTTATTAGTAGATATGGGTCCTCACGGTGTGATGTGTTGTAGAAACCTGTGTGTCGTGGTGAATGGATCCACTGGTTTCGTGGTAGCTGCTGGGTGGCATTCTGTGACAGTATGACTTCTTCAATGAGACCTCTGCTGATGGACATTTGGGTTGGGACCTAGTTGCTGGGTTTATTACAGGTACCTATAGGCCATCCATCCTTACAGAGTTGACAGGGATCTCTCTAAGGTTGACTTTTTTTTTTTTTTTTGGACAGACTCTTACTATGTAGTCCAGACTGGCCTTAAACTCGCCATGTAATCTAAGCTGTCCAGGAACTTATGTGGATACTATGGCCTCAGCCTCCCAAGGGCTGAGATTACAGCTGTGTGCCACCACACCCGGGGCTGACTTTCAAAGTTGAGTCGTGAGGGTAAAATGTTATACACAAGACACAACTTTAGAAAATTCTGCTGTGTTGTGCCCCAGAAGACTGGGCCCATTTTTTCCACCCTCCATCCTAACCCCATCCCCAAGGATCTGAGTTCTGTGCTCTAACCAGCCAGGGCTATATTTTTATTTTATTGAGACCTTTTCTCAATAAAATAAAATAAAAATATGGATGTATTTATATGCATGTGTAAATGAAAATATGTGTACTTTTTTTTAACTCAGGACCTTACAAATATGGCATGTAAGAGCTCTTATCAGAACTCATTATTTCCTAATTATTATACCTGCTTACCATCATCTACACCCTTGAGGGTGTCTGCACCTCCTGCCTCTGTAGGGGAGAGAGGTGATTGCTGTGTGCCACTGACCTCTGATTTCCAAATAAGAACTGAGGGTTAGTGGCCTGAAATCAGCTCAATCAACCGATCTACAATCTGGACAGAGACCTTAGGCACTGACATCCACCTCCCAAACTACAAGTCAGGCCCTAAAGATCTTGCAGTTCGCCCCAAGCCCAGAAGAAGAGGGCCTGGAATCCTGTCCCAGGCTCAGGTCAGGCTGTTAGAATTGATGGATTTGGAAGGTCAGAGCCTCCATTTTCTCTTCCGGGAAATGGGGTAATTGTGGCAGCCATCTTGCAGGGTCACATGTGGCCAGAATAAGGGTTCTCTGGAGGGGCACAGACCTTGCGTCAAATCCCTGCCAAGTCACTCAGTGCCTCTGAGACTCAATTTCCGGTGACCAATGAGGTGGTGACAAGAAATCTCCCATCAATTGCGGCCGTTAGGATGCTGGGATGGCCCCATCCCCTCCCCACACTCCTGCCTCCCAGCAGCCCATGCGAACCCTCCAACAAGCCCGTGAATCTGCAGGTGAGCAGGTGGTATCCGCAGGGCGGGTGGCTGAGGAGCAGGCCCCACTGAAACCCAGCATGAGAAGGACTGCGGTCTGGGCTCCTCACCATCCCTCCTCAGGTCAATTTGAATGCTCAGCCTGACTGAGAAGAGCCACAGAACCCCTAAGTGAGCCTGTGCCCTTCTTGAAAAGGGGAACAGAGGCAGGGCAAGCATGTGGTCTTTGTGGGCAAAGCGGGTGGAAGGGGTATGGGGGAGAACTTGAAGCTAATAACAGCAGACACTCTTTGGAAAAATGATCTCACCACCAACCTCTACTATAGCGTCCTCTGGCTCAGAGGCCTCGTCCCAAAGATTGCATAAGGAAACAAGGAGGTCAAAGTTGGACCCAGAGTCTAAATTTCTCCTGTGCTTCCTCAAATGGGACACTTAAGGCTCAGAGAGGGGAGGGAATTCTTCCAGTGATACACAGCATTCTAGCTCCTGGCCTTCCTGATACTGAACACAGCAGGAAGGGTAACAGGCAGGTGCCAGGGCGAACATAAATAGCTTATCCTCCTCCCCCCAAGACTTTTAATGCTTAAGTTAGGCATCCTGTGAAATCTTTTGGTCATAACTGAAATAGCTGGTGATCCCATTCCTGCCTCCTAATAGTACATTGTGGGCGGCTATGAGCTCAGGACACAGGAATAAGTCCTGGAACGGGGCCTAGGCTGGGCTGTGTCCCACAACCCAGAGCCCTGGACACTTACTTGTGGGCACGAAGCTATAGATGGCCAGCAGCAGGGTAATGGCCAGAGGGAGCATGTCACGGTCCATGCTGTCCACCTGAGAGTCTGTGCGCTGGGCCTTATCCGGTATCCAGAGGCAGGGCTGCTGGTGGGCGCCGGGGCCGGCGTGGGTTCGCACGGGGACCCGAAGGGAGCAGGCGGCCGGAGCGACCACGTCCCTGCTCCAGCCTTCTGAGGTGGCGGCGGAGAAGTCAGGAGAAGTGGGCTCGAGACTCACAGCAGGGCAGGGGTCTCTAGCTGACTGGATGGTGGCAAAGAGACACTGGGCTCTTATGGACAGCGGCCGTAGTTGGTCCTGGCCTGGGGACGGGACACAGATGGAGGCAGGGGTCTGACCGTCACGGCGGGGAGTTCAGCTCATCCAGCCCGGCCCAGAGAGGCAGGAAATGCGCTTCCTTAGAGAAGGGGCCGGGCCAGGCTGCCTGCCAGGCGAGTAGAGGAAGTGCCACAGGCTTTGTCGCTGGGTGGGGGGCCCTGGGATGGGGGAGGCAGGATGATGGGAGGGCCCAGGCTGCCGACCTCCCCCATGCACCCCACCCTCCATCCACCCCTGCTGATGTTGACTGGTAAGGACATATCTGGGAACCTTACAGGGGACAAGGTCTGGCTGAAGCCTCAGAAACTCAAGGTCCCATTCTACAGATGAGGAAACAAATGATGGGCTGAGCCTTCTGGAAAGATGGTGTCGGGGATTCTAGCTGGTCCTCGCCAGCATCAGCACAGACTTGCAGGATTGCTCTAAGTTGTGCCCCTTGTATTACAGAGAGGGAAACTGAGGCCCAATGTGAAGAAGACACATTCCCAGGTTAGCATAGTAGAGCAGCTGGGACTGTACTGTCTGGGCCCAAAGAAGGCCATGGAGACCATAAAGACCCACACAGTAGGGAAAACACAGTGGACTTGGTAGCACACACCTATAATTCCTACCCTCTGCAGGCCAGGGCAGGAGAGCTGTGAGTTGGGGGCCGGCCTGGGCTATACATCAGTGACACCCTGTCTCAAAGGAGGAGCAGGCACAGGTTTTCATGACATTTCTGAAGTCTAATGGCCCTGGGTTTGGACCTGCCTTGCTCATTTCCAGGTAAGACATGAGGCTGAGTCTTTAATCTCAGTTACCTGCTTGTAATGCAGGGCACAGTTGTGTCCTCTTCCCCAGGCTCTTGGGAAATTTCCAAGGACAGAGTACAGAGTCCTGGGCCAGGCCTGCAGGAGCCGCTTGCCAAACCATACTCCCTCCCTTGACTAAGGTGACAATCCCAGAAAGGCCCATCTTCGGTCTGCGAATAGTAAACCCATACCGTGTGCCAACCGTGTTGCTAGGTAGCGTTTAGGATCCAGCCCAGGAAAGCTTGGAGAAGAAAAACTGAGCTGCCTGGAAAGGTGTCGGGCACTGGGGGAGTCCAGATAGAGCAAGCAGAGGAGGCCAAGAAAGAACAGGGCTGTAGACTAAAGCACTCGTGTAGGAAGTGCTTGGATTATCCTGGGGCAAAAGCAAGGGCGTAGAGAGGTTAAGAAGCTGTCTCTGGGAGGGCCTGAGCTCTGGCCTTTACCCCTGGGGCCAGTGCGAGTCAGTTGTCTGGAGGAGGGAGAAGGCTGAGAAGTGCAGCCTCTGAAAGGAGGTCTGGGTTTTCAGGCCTGGCCTCTAGGCTCCCTCTAGTCTTTCTCATGCCTCAGTGGCCAGGCCAGGCCAGCAGTTTGTCTCTGCAGTGGCTGACAGGAGACAGGGAGGGTAGTTGTGGTTCCTGAAGGCAGCTTGGAGGAAGGTCTCTCAACCAGGCAAACATGGGAGACCTAGCCTCACCAGACCTCCTAGTGATGGCTGCCTCTGCTCTTCCCTTCAGCCATGGAGATAGCAGATGGACACTGGGACTCCAGAGGGCAGGACGGGGTGGTGGTAGCGTGGCTGTGAGCTTCTGTCTCTACAAGCCCTAACAGAATCTGTTTGGGGAGCAGTCAGCCCAGCCCGCCCGGGGACTAAGCTCTCCACCAGGACCCACCCTGGGCGTTCACCTTCTCAGTATCAAATTGTCACCATTGACTCAAGGCCTGCTCCTTTGGGCTTTGTTTTACACAGGTGGAGGCCAGCTTGATAAGGAGCTTGGAGAGTGGACACCTCAGGGCTGCCTGACTTCAGCCCTGGCTCCATACCTCAGAGGGCAGCTGGTACAAAAACTGTAAGAACCACAAGGGAAGGTGGCAGCCAGGAGATCCTCCGGGACTCCAGGACAAAGTCCTCACGTTCCAGGCCCTTCCGGAGATGGACTGATCTGCCTCTCCAGGCTTCTTAACCTTTCCACACCCTGCTGTCTCAGGGTGATCCAAGTACTTCCTACTTCCATGCCTGAGCCTAAGCGTGGCCACTTCTTAGCCTTGTTTTGGTTTTTAGAGTTATTTTTTTATTTTTTTAAACAGGGTCTCACTGTGTAGCTTTGGCTGTCTCAGAATTAGCAATGTAGACCCGGCTGGCCTCAAGCTCATAAAGATCTGCCTGCCTCTGCCCTCCTAAATGCTGGGATTAAAGGTGTGTGCCAAACCAGGCACAATGGAGCTCACCCGTAATCCTAGAACTCAGAGAGGCAGAGGCAGGCAGATCTCCGTGAGTTTGAGACCAGCCTGGTCTACAAAGTCCAGGACAGCCAGACTACACAGAGAAACCTTATCTCGAAAAAAAATAAAAAATAAAATATATAAATAAATTCGTGCTGCCACACCTGGCCCGTGGACCCTTTTAAAGGTCCTTCCAAAAGCATCTCCATGCAGCACAGCCATCTCCGCTCAGATCATAAACAAGACATAATTCGTTCTCCAGGCGGAGGCTCCAGGTGGAGACAAGGAGGCATCTGTGAAGTGGCAGCTGACGGGACTCCTCTCTGCTCCCAGCTTTTCTCAGGCAGAGGCAGGAGGATGCCTGCAAGTTTAAGGCCAGCTTGATCGACACAACAAGGTCTGGGTTACCCAGGGCTTTGGAGCAAGACCCTGTCTCAAAACACCAGAAAGGAAAGGAAAGAAGAGGGACAACAAGATGGCTCAGGGTGAAAGTGCTTGGGTTTGACCCCTAGGGCCTACATGGAGAAAGAAGAGAACCGATTCCCCCAAATTGTCCTCTGAACTGAAAGTGTGTGTTATGGGACATGCGTGTCCACATACACACATACAAAAACACAGTAAGCAAAGAAATAAAATGTAACTTAAAAATTCTAAAAAGACAGGAACTGGGGAGAGAAAGCCTTACCAGGAGGCTTTAGGGGGCCCTGCCCGGGGAACCTCCTAAGCGGATGAAGGGTGTGGGGTCACCGGCCTGGAAGCTCTGAGCAGAGGTTGTCCCTGCCAGTTTGCAGCCTGGGTGGTGCCTCAATCCCCAGGGGACATCACTAAAAGTCCCAGGAGGGCAGGGACTTTGACGGCCTCTGCTGGCCTCTGCTGCTTTGGCCCTTCAGGGCAAAGGGACTTGGTTTCTTGAAATCTTTTTTCTTCTTTTTCTTTCTTTCTATTTTTTTTTTTTTTTTCTGTGTAGTCCTAGCCAGGACTCACTTTATAGATCAGGCTGGCCTCGAACTCACAGAGATCTGCCTGCCTCTGCCTCCCAAGTGCTGGGATTAAAGGCCTGTGCCACCATTCCCAGTTTATTTTTCTTTTTCTGGAAGGATCATCTCAAAGGCTTGCTTTCAATTTGTAATCCCCCTGCTTCAGACTCCCAGGTACGGGTGTGTGTAGGGCCATGCACGGCAAGCTATCTTTACTGAAAGCATGAGGTGCCCTGGAAGCCACGTGGGCCTGAGGGTTGTGGGGAAGACATTCTAATTTCTTATCCCTTGTAGGTGAAACCAGTCCTGGGCTGTTCTTTCCCCAGAAGCTGTGGTCACAGCCCCTTGCAGGAAGGGAGAGATCTGAGCAAACTGAGGTTTGCTTCCAGCATGCTCTCTCCTCTGGGGGGTGGGGGTGGGGCAGCGATACATTTCATCGCTTCCCTACTCCTGAGGGATAAACAAGGGCGAGAGAAAGGGGCACCACCTTTGGCTCTGTCCCCAAAAGACTGCCCCCACATCAGTGGACTCTCCCACTGAGGACCATAATCCAGCCAGGGTCTATCCTACTGCCCAGGAGCATCTCCGAATCTGTCAGGCCAAGCCATCATCTGCACAGGGTGATGGCTGATGGCTCCATGCTCCCCGACCTCACCTGTGTAAACACACCCCTCACCACAGCCTCCAGAAGCTATCCCTTGGGAGTCTGCCATCTGTTTGCTGCAGAGGCCCAATGTAGATGCTCTCCGGGGCCTCCTGTGCGCACTCCAGGGGAGACATGGCCCCCAGCCAGGAGTCTCGCAGTGGGCTCCGACTTCTTCCTGGTGGGGCCAGGAAGGCCTGAGCGGCAGGAAAGGACGAAGCACGTCTGCCTTGGCCCCTGGCCACCAAAGGAATGTCAGGCGGCCCCTAAGGACCCCAAGGCGGCCGTGAGTCTCCAGTACCGGCCTGCTGCCAGGGGCCGTTACTAATTGCAAGGCCAGATCCGCTCAGGCATGGTGAGGGGAGCGCTAGGCCAGGAGTCTGGGTACCTGACTCTGGCCCATGTTAGCCAGGGAGCCTAAGGCAAGGCCGTGCGACTTTCCGGAGCCTCAGTGCACCGTGGAGGGGGTGTGTGTAGGGCAGCCTGCTAGCCCTCGGGGACTCAAAATACAAGACAAGATTGTGAAGGCTCCATCACTCATGAACTTACCTGGCACAGCATAAAATGCCTCTTCACAGCCCATCCTCCTTTCACGACGGAAGTGAGGAGCAGATGTGCAAACGCACGGGGAGAGCAGCCGTGGATGTGTAGGGTTGGACCTGTTGGTTTTCCCTTGTTTTCAGAACCTTCTGTCCTAGTTTCCTTGCCACATTCCTTGTCGCCTTATCTGTCACTGGTCCCTCTTCATTCCCCCTCCCATAGCCTTTACACCCTTTTCCTTTTCTCTTCACTCTTACTTCCCAATCAGGTTTTCTCAGACCTTGGTGACCAATGACATCATATCCGAAGCCCAGGGACAAGTCGCCTGGGGAACTTGGGCTCAGGTAAGAAGAGGACAGACCTCTGGGAGGTCGTCTGTGCCCCTGTCCCTGCAACGTCCTTGAATGGCACGCATCCTGTGCCAGTTTGCCAGTTCCCTTTAGTCCTGACAAGCCACTGGGCTACGGTGCCCGCCAAGGTCCTGACCATAAAACAGTGTGGACAGGTTCTTTCCAGCCTGCAGGGCAAGGGCCAAGTCTCTTTTAGGAACTTGTTGCAGGTAGAGACCCTCAGCTGGGCTTCGTGGCACAGGCCTGCAGTCATACCAGCTCTTGAGAGACAGAGGTGATCCTCCGTGAGTCCAGGCTTAGCCTAGTCTGC